AAACACGGACCTCCAAAACATCAGAGGTGAGATCAGGTGCCCTGGAGGAGTGAGCATCCACTGCCGACCGGTAACACCAGCCGTGTGCTCCTTGTCATAATCGGAAAATAACGGGAACACCATCGTCAATTCAGTATATAAATAATGGACTAACAATACGTATGAAAAACGTCAGTCAGCATTTGTTCCAATGATAAATAGTACTAACAATCTAGTTGAAACTTTATGCAAGTAAATTTACAAATTACATTTTGCTCACGTTTGCATACAATACAGTGTAAACTTGCCTTTTCTTCTCCAGTATTATAATTTATATATTTGAAAATAATCTGTTCATAAAATATATTATTTGTTTGCCTGTAAATTCATTCCATTATAATTGAATTCTAGTTGTAACGCTGTATTTGATTGGATAAAAAAATTACTTTAAGTCGTATAAAACGGGTTGCCTACGTCACAATGACTTGCGTCATAAACGTATTAATCCGCCTGACGTTACATTAAAAATTTTTTACAAACTGAAGTCATTTTTTAAGAACATTCATCTTTTTTTCTTACACCTAATGAATAAAAATTAAACTAGAGGTACTGTGGGAGCAATGAGCTCACTTAATGATACCCCCCTTCCTATATGAATATAATTGGAGTATCCATGTTTTGTTGTGGGAAACCCAAAATATGTGCCAGATCAAAAAGTAAAATAGGAGGCCACAATTGCAATATGCAATAAAGATTCTTTGAAAGTTTCATCAAATTTTATTCAGTGGTATGAGAGGAGTTGCGGATAAGAGATTAGTACCCCAATGCATAACAGACAGACGGACGGATGGATGGACGGACATACCGATTACTATATATCCTCCCGCTTTTAAAGTGGGGGGTATAATTATGTCGATCGAATGAATTTAATAGTTGTACCCAGTTTATACCGTATGAAATTGGTACCTATTAAATTCATTCCTTAATTAAACTATATTCAAATATTTTTCACTCCGATCGTCGAATTATTATGTATCTCTATAAAAAAAAGAAAGGATTCAAACATACATAGTACCTTTATATAAAAAATGTGCTGGTCAAACCTATCTCGGTATTACATCGTACATCGTACGCACTGTGCCAAACCAAAAAGGTATGTCAAGTTTTGACCAATTTCAAACATCTACAATATGAAGACAAAGTCATAGGTCTATAGGATGTTACCTGAAAAAACATTGATCTTTTAACAAAGATTGCATTGACATAAAAATCATCACTGAAAGTTAGAAATTTGTTTCAAATCGTCTACATCTTGTGACGAAACAGATAAGAATAAGCAAGCATTGACATTCATAAACCAAAAACTCTGCCACAATTCATCAAATGAAAGCTTGTTAGATTTTACCTTGAGAGTGGAAAAATACTTTGAACTTTGAAAATCGAGACATAAATGATAAATAAGAAAACAATTATTGTTAAGTAATAGCAACCAATTCAGCTTTCAATCCATTGATTTACTTTAAGCCATTAAAACCTTGATGAGAACAACTTTAAAAAGGTAGGCTTTAAAACAGACTTTTGACTTTTTTAAAATCCTTGTTCTGTGAGATAGTTTTGTATGTCGTCTTAATTTGTTCTGAAAAGTTTACATTTTTACCTGTCCTCCATATTTTACATGACAACTCCTGAAAATATTCGTTGTTTAAAAAATGAATTAAATAAGATTTATTAGGAGAATAAGTCAAGTTTTGAGACAGACATATAGTCTTTGAGGAATGCTATAGGTTATGTGTTTAATATAAACAAGTAAAATTAGACTGTTTTAATATTCAGCAACAAATCTAACACAAAGCTTAAAATAAATGAAAAAATGTAGTATTTCTTTAAACGTTTTATTTTGTTTAAGTTTTTAAAATTCATAGTGGCATATTTCTGCCCCCCTATATGCAAGATAAGTTATGTTTACATGCAAGTAAATATGTCTCCATGCAAGAAAATTATGTTAGCATGCAATCTACCAATCTTATTGGAGAATATAATTTAAATACTAGTATGGGTAAATTGTCTTCCTAACACAAGTATCTGACATCATACATGCAAGATGCAGCTTAAGTATTTTGACATGCGACTTATTTATGTTAGCATGCAATATAATTGTGTGAACATTCAAGATATTAAGGTCGTCATGCAACTTACTTATGCTAACATGCAATATAATTAGACATGCTACAATTTTTTAATATCAACATGCAAGATAAATATGTTAGCATATGCAACTTATTTATGTCAACATGCGACTTCTTTATGTCAACATGCGTTAACTGTTTCAACATCCAAATTATATACTCAGTATGGAAGAAAATAATTTGCATGTCAACATGCATATCTCACATTTGACATAATTAACTCACATGATCCCACCTCTCATGTTTTGGAGGTCTATGTTTGCTCCACTCCTATATTGTATTATTTAATGGACTTTGAGCTTGAATAGTGTTCGTCTTCTTAATTCATGTTAAATTAATTATTTTGCATGTTGACATAAATAAGCTGCATGTCTACATAATTATCTTGCATGTTGACAAACAAGTAGTCACATGTCTACATAATTATCTTGGATGTTGACATAAATAATTATAAGTCGCATGTCTTCATAATCGTGACGCATCTTGCATGTATGTCGTCAGATACAGACGCGAGCAAGTAAATTTACCAATATTGGAATGTAATTTTCTGTAGGACTGGTAACCTAATAGCATGTCAACATAATTAAGTTGCATCTGTTGACATAAATAAGTTGCATGTCTACATTATTATGTTGCATGCTAACATAATTTATGTTGCATGTCTACATGATTTTGTTGCATGCTAACATGATTTATATTGCATATAGGTGGAAGAAATATGTCACCATACATAAGACAAAAAGGTGAAGATTACGAACAGTATTTAATTTTAAAAAATCTCAATCTGATTTAAAAAAAAAGATCTTTACTTAGCTCTCTGCGCTTTGCGCTATGTAGATATGTGTATTTTAATCAGATTGAAAATATATGTAAAAAATAAAAATCTTTGAAAAGGGCATGAAATACACCCCTGGGTAAATGCCAGAATCGGGATTAGGTGTCCTGGAGGAGTAAGCATCCCCTGGTTACCGGTAATACCCACCGCTAACCCTAAGCGTTTATCAGGTACATGGAACATTCCGTAGGCGAACTCAGGATAAAAACAAAGGATTAGCTATTGGTATAAAACAAATTAGTCAAGATAGGACCTAATGGAAGGATATCATTACTAACAAGCTTTTTTTTATAACGACCATGGAATTTAGGGAATGCTGAAATTAAAGTTTTTGACATCCTTGTAACATTAACTTATCTGTCGAGTTGGAAGATGTAAACACCAACTCAAGTGCAGGTAAAATCGAGATATTACTAGATCAATAAGGAAAGTTGACGATTGAAAAGTTTACATCAGTTCGTTTACCATATCATACAAATATAGTTTTAGTCGAGCCCTTTTCGTCTATAGTAAGTAAAAGATCCTGTTATCACATGCTACACGCTGTGCTGTCTTTTCTTTTCAATTTTATTAGGATATATCGAGTCCGCATGTCAGTGGAAGCAAATATTTTCAATTTATAAAACGTCGTCGATAAACATAATGTCGAGTTGAAGGCAACAGCAGAGCAATCTATTTTTCAGGCAAGAGTTTTCAAATAACTTAAGATTTACAGGAATATGAAAACGGGTAAATTAATAAAGGTCCACTATTAGTGCCCATCGGCATTCCAAGAGTTAATTGGTATACCTGGTCTCCGAAGATATCATAAATGTGTCAATGAGTATAACTCAACTTCAGCGTATTTGCTTATAGAATCTGGGTGATTTTTAAACAAATTCAAATCAATCTTTTTGATGGAAATTTGAATTTTATTTTAAAATGTTTATTTTTTTTATCAATACTAGTAGTCTTTGTGAGAATTAAAATAAAAAAGGAATTAAACAAAGTAGTCTTTAATGGGAAAATCCTAGTTTCCAGAATATGCTAAAACAGTTTATGTTGGCTTTTAATGAAATTGAATTAACTTAAATTTTTGTTAATAAAATTGCGGAAAAACTAAGCCATGATTTAATTCTTATTAAGATTTTTTTCCCTCTTACCTGCACAGAAGTCAAATATGCAGCATAATTCGGTTACACGAAAAATGCATTATAAATTTAATATATGATATGACAGTTTGTTTTACAAATTAAGGTTTTGAAAATCAAGACGAGAAAGAGTATTCAGATAAGAAAAACAACAATCTGCCAAAAAATGTGCTTTTTATAAAAATAAATTTTGTTCTAATGAATTAATATCCATATATCAATTTTCATTTCATTTAATTTTTTAAAGAGTATCATATTAATTTGAAAATACTGAAAGAAAAAAAAACATATTTGATTTTTTTTATTTAACTAAAATATGTCATCATTTCTTAAAATCTCCAATGACTTTTTGTTAATATAACATTTTGGACATATTACAATAAAGGGCAGAATCATTTCATTTTGAGTAAAAAATATACCGAATGACATTTCTTTAACTTTGTGGGCCCAGTGTAACAGGTTTGTGTGAACACACAGATAAAAAATTTCATTAATCATGTCCGTCTTGTCTCCATGTTTAATTATGATAATTCTTCTATCGCCCCTTTCCCCATTTTTTTCTCTCTCCACCTAAAAATTTTAACTTGTATGTCTGAATTGCTTAGCGGCAGATGGTGGGAATACATTTGTGCGATATGGACCGCTTGTGTTGTGTTTGGCTACTGCTTGTGGTTTATTTTCATTATGGTAAGATTTAATATAACAAACTTATCCTCTTTCATTAACATAACATTATTTTCTTAATTACCATATCCTGCGGTTGAATGTGCAGAAGCATGCAGATAACCTTCTCTTCGACATTATTGGTATTTAAGTTTAAGGAAAACTGTCTTTTTCCTTATTTTCATGGAAAGCATTTTTGCTGACGTTATCCTGGTAAAACATGAAATGTGTAAGTCTTTATCAAGAAATAGGATAGACTATCTGAAAGGTACAAAAGATAAAATATAAAAAAAAAAAAGAAATTTGAAATTTTTTTTATTATTATATTTATTAAACTTATATTTTAAACATTTTTGTGCATGAACAAAAAAAATCGCTCTTATTATTTTATCATTTTTACATTTATTACACGATATGTTATAAAGTAGTAACAATTATTTCTTTAATCTCATTATACTTAATTTTTTAAAAATATTTTATGTATAAAAAATCGCATGACGTTTCTCCTCTGTATATCATAAAATGCATCGTTCTTTAAAAAAAACAACCCTAAAAATTAAAAAAAATTAAATAAAGTAGTATCATGGTTTTGTTTTTAACAGATTAGAGAAATATTTCTTATCATTTGCTGAAAGAGAATGATTGTGGTGACCTTGATACATTTATGTTTAAAATCATCACGAATGTTATAAAGTTTGCAATATTACTAGTACCTTACGCCACAAACCTTATTGTCTCCTTGGTACACATGCACGTTTGAAATTAAATGAAACTAAAAATGGGTCAGTAAAACGTATTCCTCTAGATGTTTTATTTAGTAGCAAAATTAAGCGTTTGCAAGTTTTGTTAATTTCACAATTCACCGAAAAAAATAACCAGTGAAAGTCACTGGGAAGACTAGTATATTTACTGTCCATACAATTACTACCTCAAAAGAAGTTTTACTAGGTATTGGGTAGATTTACTAGATAATATAAGTAAATCTAAGAACTTATAAGTAACTTTCACTAGGTATTTAAGTATCTTTACGACCACTGTTCCACTTTTCACTATCTTAGCTAGTGCACAGAGTGATTACTAATCACGAAGAACGCTTTTCTTGACACACTAGTTAAATCAACTAGGTAATTCTCTCAGTGTTATGACAAGGAGCACACGGAGGTTGTGACCGCTCGGCAGGGAATGCTCACTTCTCCATGGCACCTGATCCCACCTCTGATGTTTTGGAGGTTCGTGTTGGCTCTGCTCAAATTTTGTATTGTTAAATGAACATTTGAGATAACATACTGTTCGTAATCTCTATTTTATTTCATATTAAAAATGTATATGTGTGCATTTTACAACCAAATGTATAGACTGACCCTGCTTTTTCCCAAACGTTACGCGTTTCAATCCAATTCTTCTTTTTTTTAATTACAAATTAAGCTGTCTGCTGTGAACCAGTCAGTTTAATTTTATAACTTAGTTTCATCATTAGTATAACAAGAAACGATTTAATATATATGTCAACGTGACACTTAAAAACTGCCTCCATATCTATGGAAAATTCTTTGTGACCCATTTACATTGCAACTGTGCATTAACTTCTGATATATCAAAGTTATGTCATCCGAAATTGTTTTAAACTAGCCTACTGAACTATTTTAATGTACAAATAATGAGAGTCACGTGACAGTTGTTTAAATACCCCAAGATATTATGTTGTTTTACATAATTGATATGACACTTTACAAATTATTTTAACTCATATACGCATAAAATGACTACAGGATTTTATGGCAAATTAAATTAAATCTTTTCAGTCTTTCTTCAGCAAGTATTTCTGAAGAAATCAATATATCAAAGATTTTGTTTTCTTTGCAATGTGATTTTCAAATTATCAATTGGTTTACAAAATAAAATTATTATCATTAACCCTTCTTTGCATTTAAAAATGCAAAATTAGTGTTCATGATCTCCCCAAGGTGATTTTTCTACCACATGTAGGAAAAGCAATGTTTACAACCAAAGTAGCACTCGTTATTCAATAACAATAGAATACAATGTATTTGATTTTCATTTTAAAATCGTCAGTTTTATAAATGACACTCGATTAGCTGTTCGCGTGTGTCAAATCTTTCTCCTTGTTTCATAATAACATGTAAGTAATAATTAACTAAGTCTATTAAGCCCTGACAAGCATAATTAGTATTTATATGTTGAAAAATTAACTCACTTGCTGACACAAGTTTATTTAGCTTCTTAAAATTTTTGGCATTCATTATCTTACCGCTTTGTTTTGTCTTTGAATTAGAACACAAGTTTATAAACAATTGATTACGCCAGTTATAATGTAAAATTACGAATTTTTGATGGGAAAAATGTTTTGTGGATCGAGGAAAAAAATGACCATGATCAGTTTCTTAGTTAAAGAAATCTTCAAATATAATGCCTTTGAAATTTTACGTTTCGTGCAGGACATAAGATTCGATGGTGTCTTCTTGCCATAAGTAGTTTAAAGTTTTTACACCCCACCCCACCTTCACAAAATGTGATTTACCAGTTTCACATTTTATTTCTTTTACCAAATGTGAATTCTTCTCAATATTCTCCAATAAAACGGCACGTTGAAAATAGAAAGAGTCAAATTTTACTGAATATACATCTGATCCCAGCTTTGATGTTTTGGAGGTCCGTGCTTGCACCGCTCCTATTTTGTATTGTTTAATTGACATTTGAGCTTGAATATTGTTCTTTATATCCATATATATTTTATTTTGCTAAAGATAGCATAGGTAATTTTCTTTTTAGCTTTATCCCAGTGTGAAGAAGAGAAAGTAATTCCTGTGGGTATTGAGAAGATAACTGTTCGATTCCCTCCAGTTAACCAAACCACATATGAAAAGTAAGTACATGTAAGTGCCTCTAAATCCTGACGTTTGTCTTAAGTGGATACTGATCGAGTTTTTATTAGATTTAAAGATCAAAGTTTCTAAAAATGATAAAAAAAATGTGACATTATATGTGTATATCCGAATTACATACTGTGCAATCACAGATTTTCGTGTGGATTTAATTTTCTTTAGTTTCGACTTATGAAGAGACCCACGAATTCATGTCCACCATGACATTTAAAATGTTACATACATAACTACTCAACAATTCCCCATCCACGAATTCAAATCCCCACCAACCAAGAGTTTTTACTCAAATCACGAAAATTTGTAATTTTATAGTATTAACATTCAAAACTCATTTTACATCAAATCTTTTTTCTTAATATCTGTTTTCTTGTGTTTTTTAAATTGTAAAATCCTTGATATGAAAAATTGTCGTAATCTTTTTACGTAGATTTCTGTTTTGTGAATGGAAATTCGTTGCCGAAAAAACAGACATGCGAATAGTTTATCAAATTTCTAAAGTCAGCGTCCATTGTGACGACAGGTTGGAAGTTTATCCTGCTGGTGGTGAGTGAAATGTTTCTCAATCTAAAACTTTTTCTAAGATTAAATTTAATTGATTATCTTATTCATTAGGAAACATATAACGAATATAATTAATTCCGTAATAATTTTGTAAATACACATGATTTAAATGCTATATATGTATCTCTTAAACATGATAGCATGTATGAAAACTGCAAATTTTTGTATTTATTGCCATTGCACGATATTAACACCAATTCTCAGAATATTGATATATTTTTCTTCCTTCAAGAGACTTCAAACAAAGAAAAAATTTGTTGTCCTAATTGTTTATTGACTGGTCCAGCAACAAGACCTGTGGCTGTAACGCCCGGGAGAAGTCTAAAAATAGATTTCAATTCTGATGGAACAACACATGACTATGAAAAGGGATTTGAAGTGACTTTGGTTGCCTCTAAGCATCATGGTAAAGATATCATTTCTGTTGACTGGACATTTCTTTGATGGAGTATTAGACACAACCATTATGTCGAATCAGATATGGAAGAGACAGATAAACAATTTCCATATGTTTACACCATGATTTATCAAAAAATTGCCTGATCTATTATTTAAATTAGAATTTCATATTGAAATTAAAGGATTGAAAATATCTTTCTTTGAGAAAAATGAAAAGGTTTGATTTAACGAAGAGGGAATCGATCTGAAAAAATATTAAGGCAATCAATACAAGTATTCTAATTTTGCAATTCCAATGGGTACTAATCGTGCGCCGTCATTAGGAAAAGTAAGCATCAACTGTCCACCTGTCATTTCCACTCTATCAATGAATCAAACGGAAAAATTCATAATCAAAGGTAGAATAAAAATAAAAACTTTAAAATTAGTATGAGATACGTCAGTCAAGATATAATCCATTGATATGCTGTATTTCCTGAGGAGGTCATCATAAGAATTTCTATTATAAGAATTTATGAAATATTAAATTAAATGAGATCGTTGAAACCCCTGTAATATCAATTTACGTCTCCCAAATTATCTATAATTTTGTATGTTTTCAAATTATCATCTTCAGATTACTGCCCACTTGACTACAAGCCGATTCAAGTGACGTCAGAGAAACTACAGATAGCGTCTCCAAACTTTCCTGACTTATATGAAACGTGAGTATCTCTTTTTCTGTTTAAGAATTAATCCTGTCTGGTTTCAGTTTGGTGAAGAATTCTAATGGTAATATGTATTTTTTACAGAGGCCTGGACTGTAGATATGAGCTGACGTCTCCAACAGGCGTGATTGTGCAATTCCAGTATATTGATGTTGAAGTACATGAACAGTGTGAAAATTCTTGTTGTGATGTTATCAACATCTATCAAGGTATTTTGTTATTAATTACACAAAATTATCCCAAACTTTATCTTTGTTTTCTGAATATTACGAAATGAATAATCAATTCAAGCAAAATAAATTAAAAAAAATTTAAACCCAAATTTCTAACATTTTTAAATTTAATTAAAATATGGCTTATCAAAATATTACACAAAGAGGTTGAGTTTTTCATAACTTATTGTGATGTGTAAGTTAGATAAATGAAAATTGTTAACGTGAAAGGTTAATGTCAAATCAAAAGAATAAAAGTCTGCACCGATTTCAGAAGCTTTAGAAGAAGATTAATTAAATATCATTGCATTTGAATTTAAAAAAGTCATCTATCTTTTAATGGTATGTACATGAAGCATAATATTTTTTTTTCTCTCCAGGAGCCGAAGTAACCCTTAAGAACAGATTAGCTTCAATGTGTTCTCTACAGGACTTTCAACATGACAAGATTTATGAGAGTGTTGGAACGACTCTAACGCTTCAGTTTACAACGGACGCCATGGGTCCATTTCGTGGCTTTCTGGCAACAGTTCAAGGTATTTTTCTGCGAGTTTGTTTAAAATCAGATTGTTTTCTATCTCATGAATGTTTATTCTCAGTAGTTTATTTAGAAGAGAATATTATATCCCGTTTTGTTTAGATTTTTTAAGAAAGGTCTGGCAAAGTAATCTTCATATACTTATACGTGTTCAGTACAAAAAGGAATATCATCTAGTGCACAGGGGAATGGGGGTGTTGTTGGTCTACACGGGATGCCTACTTCTCCATGGCACCTGATCCCACCTCTGATGTTTAAGAGGTCCGTGTTTGCTCTGCTCCTAATTAGTATTGTTTAAATGGACTTTTGCCGTAATTACTGTTAGTTTTCTCCATATATTTCACTGTAAGAGTATTGAAATAATACATTAAGTATAAAATTATCATTGCCGTTATTGAGCACAATCAAAATAACGAAAAAAAACTTGGATCAAAAGACATGTCTGTAAAACTCTATAAATTGATTTTATGGGGCTTCTTTTAAAACACCAAAGTAAAAAATAAAGATGTTGAATATCTAAATCTTTTTTATGGAGAGGTCATTTTTCTTTCTAGATGACACTGCGCCATGAGGTGCATTTCTCTGGATAACCACAAAGAGTAATACGAAAAGAATTGACACTCTTCAATGTCCTTCACACTAGCTTAACATCACCACAAATGAAAATTTTCCAGGCATTCTGAAAATTATCGTTTAAAAAAATAACGCAAGACAATGAATTATAGGAAAGACGTGATAAATGGAATTACACGATATGTCACTCTGATGCTTAAATGAAGGTAAAACACACAGTCTACTCTGCTGCATCAAAACAACATATCATTTAAATTAAAACATGCACGCAAAGAACTTAGTGCACCTTTTAATTGAAATAAAGCAAATTCAAGCCGTAACTTCTAAACAAAAAGAGATTTTTGAGTGTTTTCACTACATATAATTATCTCATTCTCGGATTTTACTTTTTGGAAATCATTGCTTGTAAATTTGCAACGATAATAAATTTTGTAGACAAAATATGTATTTGATACAAGAGAACATAAGTAGGATAGAATTTTATAGATAGCTCAAACAATTAAAAGTATTTAAAACTGAATTGCTACAAAATAAGAAATATATACATAGTACTTTCGGTCATAGCGAGGGCCTTATCGCGCCAAGGCTAAACGTAACAAGTGGTCTCATTTTATAGGTCTCATCAAAACCCGTGACTTTCAGTCTTGTCCAGGACATTTTGTGATAGGAACGCACTAGCTGTATCAAATAAATGAACACTTAATTTTTTTAAAATTTTTGTTATCTATTTTTGTGGTTAAGATAGGAACTGATATTTTTACAATCAGACTAACAGCTTACTAGCAAGGTGTAGGGTTGAATTGCATAAAAAACTAAAACATCTTTCATTTTCGAAAAATCTACAAAAAGGAAAATAATATTATTTCAAGAATTGTGTTTAAATTACTTCCTTTAAGATGTGTTGAAACAAAAGTGATGCACACAAGGTTAAAAACATAACCCCAACGTGTGTTCCAGTTCTATTTTTAGACTTTACGTTTGGTATATAGAAACGAGGTCAGTTTTAAAATTTACCTAAAATCGTATTGCTAATAAAGTAAAGTATACTGCGAGGAAAATTAAGATATTAATTTAATTTTCAGTTTACCTTAAAGGTATTTGTGATTTGACTGTAATTTTGAATCTTTTTTTAACAAAATGAACATGTTAAAATTTGTGTGAAACTAAAAAGTTAATTAATTTCTTGATTAATTATTTACAGTATCCGTGAGAGAAGAAATATTCTATTGCCTCTAGAGGAACATTTCAAGTGTTGTTATGTATCTTTTGTAGTGGAAACTATTATTAATTTATAATAAATTATATGCCTTTTTATATTTAATTGGATAACTTGATCAATAAATAGATCATTTGGCTGGTCCCTACGTGAAATTACTATAGCAAAATATTTTTACTATAGTAAATCAAGGTTTCACAGTTTTTACTGTAGTAAATCAAAGTTCCAAAGTTTTCACTAGAGTAAATCAAAGTTTCATAATTTGCATAATTTGCATTTACTATGACTTGCCGATTCTTTATCATAAACACAGTATGAATTATGTATTCAATTCTGTATTGAAAGAAGGATATGAAGATAACTAACAGTATTCAATATCAAAGTCCATAAAACAATACATGTAAAAAAATACAATGATAAACTGTATTTGCTGACAAGGTCATTGTATCGCCATAGAACTTACCAAATGATGACCTTTAAACCGAAACATCAGAGGTGGGATTAGGTGCCATGGGGGAGTAGAGCTCCCTTGCTATCGACCAGTCACATATATACTCCGTGTGCTCCTTGTCATGATGTCGGGAAATAATAAAAAATCCGTCGTCAATTTGAGTGTATTTTAAATAATCGACTAACAATTAGTATGAAAAACGTCAGTACTTTTATTTGACTTGAAGCCTGATAAAACTGTATTTGCTGACAAGGTCATTGTTATTTCAACCATATTACTTTTTTATATAAATGATGACTTTAAACGAGACTGTTGATATTCTTGTTTCATCAACTTGTTTGTCAATAATTTCTTCTACCTCGTTTTAGAAATTGTTCATACGTTATTAAGCTCTTGCTCTTGCGTATCTGAATTAAAATGTGATATATATACATCCGTATGCAGGTGAAAGGAATGTGTATAAAATGATGATTCTTATTGCCATTGAAGAATAATTTAATTTTAGTTGTAACACGTCATTTGATCGAGTTAAACATTTTATCCATTTAGTATAACATAACTGGCCTACGTCACAGTGAGTTACGTCAAAAACGTATTACACCGCTTGACATTACTTTTAAAAATGTGTGTAAATTTGAATAATCCAAGCCTTTAAATTTAGATTTAAATGGTAAAACTGTTTTGTCTACACTGAAAATTAAATTAAAGGAATGAAGCTTATTTTGACATATATTGTTGCTTTTTTATATAAAGGGAAAAATAGAACATTTAGTTATGTTATATTTGCGTATAACAAAAGTTG